GAAGAGGCTGTCTTTTTTCCATTGTATATTCTTGCCTCCTTTGTCATAGATTAGGTTACCACTGCTGCATGGATTTACCTCTGGACTTTCTATCCTGTACCACTGATCTATATTTGTGTTTTTGTGCCAGTACCATACTGTCTTGATTACTGTAGTTTTGTAGTATAGTCTGAAGTCAGTGAGTCTGATCCCTCCAGCTCCATTTTTCATTCTCAAGATTGCTTTGACTATTCAGGGTCTTTTGTGTTTCCATACAAATTTTAAAACTTTTTGTTCTAATTCTGTGAAAAATGCCATTGGTAATTTGATAGGGATTGCATTGAATCTGTAGATTGGTTTGGGTGCTATAGTCATTTTCACTATATTGATTCTTCCAAGCCAAGAACATGGTATATCTCTCCATCTGTTTGTGTCATCTTTGATTTCTTTCATCAGTGTTTTATAGTTTTCTGTGTTCAGGTCTTTTGCCTCCTTAGGTAGATTTATTCCTAGGTATTTTATTCTTTTTGTGGCAATGGTAAATGAGATTGTTTCCTTAATTTCTCTTTCAGATTTTTCATCATTAGTGTATAGGAATGCAAGAGATTTCTGTGCATTAATTTTGTATCCTGCAACTTTACCAAATTCAGTGATTAGCTCTAATAGTTTTTTGGTAGCACCTTTAGGGTTCTCTATGTTTAGTATCATGCCATCTTCAGACAGTAACAGTTTTACTTCTTTTCCAGTTTGGATTCCTTTTCCTTCTCTGATTGCCATGGCTAGGACTTCCAAAACTATGTTGAATGACAGTGGCAAGAGTGGACATGCTTGTCTTGTTCATGATCTTAGAGAAAATGTGTTCAATTTTTCACCATTGAGAATGACATTTGCTGTGGGTTTGTCACATATGGCCTTCCTTATGTTGAGGTAGGTTCCCTCTATGCCCACTTTCTGGAGAGTGTTTATCATAAATAGGTGTTGAATTTTGTCAAAAGCTTTTTCTGCATCTATTGAGATGATCATGTGGTTTTTCTCCTTCAGTTTGTTAATATGGAGTATCACATTGATTGATTTGTGTATATTGAAGAATCCTTGCATTCCTGGAATAAACCCCACTTGATCATGGTGTACGATCCTTTCAATGTTCTGTTGGATTCTGTTTGCTAGTATTTTGTTGAGGATTTTTGCATCTATGTTCATCAGTGATATTGGCCTGAGTTTTCTTTTTTTGTGCCATCTTTGTCTGTTGTTGGAATCAGGGTGACGGTGGCCTTGTAGAAGGAATTTGGGAGTGTTCCTCCCTCTGCTATATTTTGGAAGAGTTTGAGAAGGATGGTTGTTAGCTGTTCTTTAAATATTTGATAGAATGTGCCTGTGAAGCCATCTGGTCCTGGGCTTTTGTTTGTTGGGAGATTTTTTTCTTTTTTTTATTTGGAGTATCTAGTCTTTCAAGAGGGAAAAAGAAGTAGAGTCAATGCTCAGGGAGTGGAACATTTTCCGAATTCTGCTCAGACGTCTGTTTTACCTTCAGATACTGTTGGAGGAAGGGCAGCAGTCCCCAGAGCTGTGCCCCCACCTCCCCCAGCCTGCGGACCACGCTCACTGTTATGCCCTTAACTTTCCTCTGCCTTCCTGGTCTGTTTCTGTTTCTGCCTCTTTCTTTGTAAAATCCTCATCTCTTAACTCATTCCTAATTTGTAACCATTTCTACTCTTTTCCTTGGTCAGCATGACAAAAAGCTGGGGGGCGGGGTGCCTTATACAAGGGGGTGCTTTGGATTCTTCTATCAATAATAATTTCTGTCCATGTTACACAAAAAGGCTTGATTTACTGAAGTCCAAGATCGAAGCAAAATGTTTTATTTAAAACAAATACGTGTCCTTCTGTAAGTGTAAAACATTGTTGAATTCAATATCTACATATTCCGTTTTAGGCAGACTTTAGTCATCGTTTGATTATGAATTAACAGAAACATTTTAAAATGATAGATGAGGTTCTGCGTATTGACGGTTTTTCTGTTCAGACTCTGAGCTCATGCTGCGGGAACCAAGTTGAACTCCTGCCTTTACCTCCTTTCAAACAGAAGGCAGCAAAAATCTCCAGAAAAAGCTATTGTGGTATAAACATGAACTAAACTTTACATTTTCCCATTATAGTAGATGATGCCTAACTTAAATTTTAAAGTGCGCTGAAGTTCCCAGCCTTTAGAAGCAGACTGGGAGATTTCAATACCAAGGCTTATGTCCCAGGGCTTGTGTCTGGTGACACTCCAGTCGTGATTTCCCTACTACCCCTGAAGTAAAACAGTCACTTTTCCCACTCATTCTTGATACTGTTTTGTATAGAACAGAGTGGTAGTGAGCAAATCTTATATTGGTATTGCACGTCCAAAGCCAAGTGGGGGGATGAGTCAGGTTCGTGTCTGTGGTCAGTTGGCAGCAGTTTGAGGAATGATCTCTGAGGTGCCAGAGTCCCTGGCTCACGAGGTCGGGCCCTCGTTACTGGCACGGCTGTGACAGCTTCCCTCAGATGGGCCTGGGGAGATGGAAAGTTGAGGTCAGGGGGCAAAAGCACCCAGAGGGCTCATGTCCGGCACCTTGGAAAAGGTGGGACCCAGATTCTGGGCGGGGTTGCATGAGCCCACATCCCATCTCGGCCGCGTCCTCCCTGTGTGATCTGGGTCCTGCCTTACCTTCCTCTGCTCCATTAACATCACCCTGCTCCCACTTCTCAAGAGAGAGCAGGTGTCACCTTGGACCACAGGGTGGCCCCTGTGCCAGGCTTTTGGCTCCTTCAAGGGAGTTTGTGTCAGAACTTCCTCTCTTAGGAGTAGGTCCTGAGAATGCGTTCCTCATGCTGAGATGCAAAGTGTGCTCTGACAGTTGAAACTGCAGGCAGTGGGCCTGTGTCAGAGAGGCCTCTTTGATCCAGCTTTGCCAAACCTGGAGGACGGAGGGACTGTGTCAGGCACGTCAGTCGGGATGACCGTCACTACTCGTGTGTCTTGCAGAGCACGGCCAGGCGCCACACAAAGCCGAGGTGCTGGGCGCTTGGGGCCCTGACACCAGAGGGAAGTGGACGTGTCTGATCCTCACGTTTCCTCCCCTCCATCCTCCCCTGTGAGTGCAACTTCACGTGGTTCCTGCAGCTCAGAACTTCCTGGAGGCTGGGCGCCTCCCAAATCCAGAATCTGTGCAATGCTGTGGCTGGTCTCTGTGCAGCTCTGTGGGTCACATCTGATTACTCTCTAACAGGAAGCCAGGAGAAGAACTAGTGGAGGATTTGGAAGGGACAAAGAGGACTTTTTGAAGACATTCATTATGCTGTGAACACTTGCCCACAGTCACTGAAGGCCTGCGGCTAAAGCAAGGGAGGCCCTGAGCTCAAGAAGTGTAAATGGAATCATTTTTTTCCCCAAGTAATTATCAGATACAGCAAGCAGTCTGATGAAACACATCACTCCCTTAGGTGATATTTCCCTGTTCACTTTCAAGACTGAAACTGGAGTCCCCATTGTCTGCTTAACCAAGAAAGTCACATCAGCAAAGCCTTGAAATTATTTTTGTTATTTCAGAAATTTACATGGAAATTGTACTTTGCTAACCTTGTTAATAGAAATGGTAGGTTTCTTTTCATGGGACTGGACGTGTTTCACCTTGATGTTCTCAGTTGGAGCATCAAGGTCTGGAGGAAAAAGTGAGGGCTCAGAGGTCAAAAGACCGTCTTCCAAAGTGTGATGCTGGGTGAACCCCTGGCCTCTGAGAACCCCACTCCCTCTTCCCAAAAGTGAGGCTGGCAAGCGGTTGTAGTAAAAGCACCTAGCGGGGCACCTGTAGTTCAGTAAATGTCAGTTTCCTCCCTTCTCCCCCAATTTTTGAGTAAAAAACAATTATCATTACTAAAGCAGATTTTGATTTACAAACATTAGTGAAAAAAAAAAAGTATGAGGCCTAACAAGGAGAAAAGTTATAGGGAGCTTTGGAATAAAATGGATGGACCTGGGGATGATCATGCTAAGTGAAGCAAGTCAGACAGAGAAAGACAAACACCATACGATATGGCTTATATTCGGAATCTAAAAAAAAAAAAAAAGATACAAGTGAACTGATTTACAAAACAGAAACAGACTCATAGACTTAGAGAATGAATTTATGGTAACTGGGGGGAAGGATGTGGGTGGGGGAGGGATAGTTATGGAGTTTGGGATTAATATACACACACTACTATATATAAAATAGATAACCCACAAGGACCTACTGTAGAGCACAGGGAACTCTGCTCAATATTATGTAACAATCTAAATGGGAATTCCCAAACTCCAAATCTATCCCGATAACCAACAAGGACCTACTGTACAGCACAGGGAATTCTGCTCAATACTCTGTAATAACCTAAATGGGGAAAGAATTTGGAAAAGAATAGATACATGTATATGTATAACTGAATCACTTTGCTGTACACCTGAAACTAACACAACATTGTTAATCAACTATGATCCAATATAAAATAAAAATTAAAAAAATAAAGGGTACTGAACCTCTGCTATAAGTTGTTTTCATAGCAGTTTCTGTGGCACTGTGGTTCTTCATAAGGGAAATTTAATACTAGTTGCCTTTCTTTAAATGATGATTCAATTACAGTGTCACACGATGAAAAGGAGTTAGCAACTACCTGTGTTTATTAATTGCTACACTGGTGCTGAGGGCTCCTGGTTTAGCCACCAGGAGCCCCAAGGTTCACGACAGCCCCCCGAGTCCCTGCGGAAGGTCCCAGGAGCCTCGGTGATACATTCAATGCACGAACAGAGTGAGCATCATTTAATATAATGGAAATATTGTCATTGTAATAGAACATTATCCTCAGATTAACAGCTCAAGCTGTGAAAACAAATGTGAACGGTTGGCCTTCTGCAGTACAAGATGATGCTCTCATGAGCTGTGCTCCAGTATGGGGGATGCTTTCATGGAAATACAGCAGCTCTGTGATCTCAGGATCATCCCATCTCTCCTTCTCTCTGTCAGGGGGAATTCTTCCTGCTGGTGCATGGACCCCTCCTCTCACCCAGAAGTCCAGGAGTCCTGTGGCTGCCTGGTAGTTTTCCACCATGTTTTTTATTTCTAAAAAGTCTAAACCTCAAGGAGCAAAGATGAGTTCACCCCCATCTGAAAAACCTTCACTTTTGTTAACTAAATGAACTTTTGAACTAAATGACCTTTAGGGTTACTCGATTAGCTGCTTCTTGGAAAGGTGTCGTGACATGGTTTCCAGTGTGGTCCTCCTGTTCATTGCCCACTGGTCATGATCAGTGACTGTCCAGCAGTGTTCACGAAGCAAAGGATCTTCTCCAATCAATGCTGAGGAAGCTAAGATTGCCCTTTGGGGGGAAATTTCCAAGAATTTCAAGGCAGGATGACCTCAAGCTCTTGTATTTTTATTTGAGTTTTGAAAGCTAGATTTTAAAAGCTAAGATAGCACTTGGCTCTTCTAACTATGGTTGATCAGTACAAGAGCACACGGAAGTGGGTTTTCCCCTGTTACAGTGCAAGGCATTTCTGTCTAGTTTGCGGAGGAGAATGGAGTGAAACTTATATGGAAAACTGATTGGAACTCACTTCAAAGGAAATCTCAAAAGGCAATTCATAAAAGGCACAGTCCTGTTAGCCACAATCAGCAAGCTGATATGGCAATCTTAATTTACTGGAAAAGGAAAAGCGAAATCTTAATTGAAATTCAGGATCTATTAAGAAAACAGCCACTTGAACATGTTGACAGGGCCTTTCTGTTTAGTGGCCTGTGGGATACACCCCTCCTAATAGTTTAGTGACTTTAGGAAGTCTTCCTTTCAATGGACCCGGTCTGCTTTCTTCTCTTAGACCAGATGTCTGGATGTAAGTGAGGCAGTTACACAGCAGTGAGGGGGATGTCCAGGTGGGACCCACCAGAGACTATTGACTGGTGCTCCTTTGCAGTGAGCAGCTGTTCTGCTCAAGTTCTTTTTGGACACAGTGATTTGTTTCTTCCCCGTCTTGTTTATTCGATTAACTCATGAACCCTGTAAATTTTCACTCCATGCTCTTATTCTGTGGCTTTGATCTAATCATCTTGTTAGACTGGTACCTTTTGTTACCGGCTCCCTAAAATTTCCTGGAACGAGATTGAGTGTCAGTGGCAGAGGAATGAATGAACAAGTGCCAAGTGGCTGATGTGAATTCACTGCAATTCACGTGAACCTCATGTGAGACCTGTGCAAGGAGAGAAAGCTCCATAGCCAAGGCAGCTTCAGAAATGCCAGATAAAGCCCTGGTTAACAGGTCTCTTTGCTGTAGCTCTTGCAAGATGCTGTTATCATGTATGAATCATTACACAAGGGGTGGAAAAGATGCAGCGTTTCCTGGAAATGACTCAACTGAAGAATCCTTGTTTTTTGTGGCATTGTGTGCTTGGGCAGAAATTGTGGTCCCCGTGCTAGGAGTCAGAGGCCCTCAGGAAAGGGGTAGTCGGGGTGGCCCCTGCTTGGCAAATATTTCCTGATTCTAAGCCTGTGAGTCACTGAAAAAGAGGAGTTTGATGTCTGCTTCAGGCATTTAGGGAAGAAACATGTTCCTTTGAATTTTTTGCCCATCATCCTCTGACTCTCTTTCTGGTTAGTCAAATGCGAGGTCATCCCAGTGAAAACATTTTTCACCTTTTGAGTTCTTACAAATCTGCCCAAGCTTACATACAGGAAAAGGTTTGGAAGTTCCCAAATCTGACAGCAAAGGTTGCAGTGGAATTCTAGCATAGTTCTCAAATGTATCAACAGGTGACTCTTTTTTTTTTTTTTTTTTTTTTTTT